TCACTCTATGAGCTGCTAATCCTCACAAGAGCTTCTCATCTGTATCAAAGAAATCATGCCTTCTAAATTATAAATTTTTCACTTGTGTCAAGTCCATATTTGCACCTTCTCACTTGCCCTCAATAAGTATTAGGAGCAGCCAACTCCCCAGCCTTCTCTATCTTCTTCTTTAGATACCTCTCTTTTCAGCAGACACAAACTTAACCAGCAAAATCTGGGTGATGCAGCCTATGGGATATATCCCTTCTCTGCTTATTTCCATTTCACTACATGTAAACAGGTTATGCACTATTCAGTTTCACTTCTAAATGGAAAAACAAAAATGAGAGGACAATTTCCTCTTTCTGCCTTCCTCTACTAATCAAGCCTGAGTATTTGTTGCTGATATAAATATGATACCCTAACTATTAATTTCCATTTTAGCAAACACATAACTTCATTATATATTCTCAGGCACAGGCTCCTTGCTCTTCAAAATCAATACTATACAGAATTGATGAAATAGGCTTCTATTAGCCTTTGATATTGCAATAATTTTGCTGTAATTTCCTTTAGGATGAATTAAATGAGACCACACCCACACATGACCTATCTCCCCTGCTTCTTTGATCCCTATTGATATTGCTATTGAAACTGCCTCATCTGATATTCAACAGAAGGGAATGGCCTAAAGTCTTCACTTTCTCTAGCATCACTCTTCAGTGGAAATGATGCATCTACCTTTGAAGTTTTTTGAGGCAGAATTTTCCAAAGGATAATACAAGGAGGTCAAATATTGCAAATATTGTGCTCTCCACTTCAGCACTTCTGAGGCACCTGATCAAATCTGGGGAAAATGTCAGTCCTTATTTTCATTATGACTCTATTTTCAGTTATGTGAAATTATCTAAAAATCTAAGGTGACATTCCTAAGAATTTTATTACTACCATCAGTTTTGGTGCAGCAGTGGATATTGCAGTGATTCACCTTTTTCAGTAAGATGTTTTATCCTGAATTTCAATGTAATTTTCCACAAAAATATATTTCCTCTAGAACTTCATGCACTTTATATGCACCATTGCTTCTACTGAATTCCTTAAATTTTAAGAGCTCACTTCTCCTGTAGCTCATCTGTATCCAATTGAGACAAAAGACATTGCAGAAAAGTAGAATGAAGAGGAAAAAGTATATTTCCCTTTTTTTTTTTAAGAATAGTTTGACTTCAACAGTTTTCCTTAGGCCCAGAATGGCTCTGTCTTCCTGTAGAAGATATCCTTCAATTTAAATGGCACCACAGCATTCATCTTTTTGAACTTAAGCTTGTGGTTTCTAGAAGCTTGGACCACCACATGAAGTTTGACAGATTTTAGGAAATTCTACTTAGAGTAGGCAGGAGAATTGAAACACTTTCATCTCAGGTGAAAAATGAGGAAGTTTAAATCATAGGCTTTGAAAGTACCACATGGGGAAATCTCCAGATATACTTGATTTGACATCTCAATAAAAGAGAACAAGGCATTGCAATGTAAAATGAAGCACATGAAAGAAAGTCAGCGCTCCTACCTTTCAATTAAACTTGTACTTCTGAAAGGTTGAGGTGAAGGACCTCAAGGTCTCTCATATCAACTTTTGATGCTGAACTGAGTGTCCATATTGAAGTTTGATCTTAGAAAAGAAATAACTGGACATTGTCTTGTAACACATGACTGAGACCACAGATTAAAAAATAATAAAGGGTCTGATTCACTATTGATTTTTCGCCTTTTTGGCTATATTCTGAGCTGGTGTAAATCAGCTTAGCCTATTGATGTCGGTGGAGTTACACCTTCTTTGACCTCCTGCAAGGTCCATGCTGAGCAAAGACTTACATTTATGAAAAAGAAAAATTAATAGAAATTAAAGCAAATGAAACTTCAGCACTTCTCATTCCACCAAAACCAGAAGGAAACATTCCTTTGTCTGGTGAGAGAAAAGGCTCCCTGCCTTCACTGACGGGGGAGCAAGGATTGCCATTTCTGCCGCAGACTAAATTAGCAATGAATCAAACACTCATTTAAAGAGATTTTCCACAGCTATTTTGATTTCAAAGATTTGCCATGAGAGGATATAATAGCCTTTTTTAGCAGTGCTCAGTGCAGCAAATACTCTGTAGCAGAAGGTGCTGAACCCCAAGTGGTTTCCCTCATTTTCCATGAATATCATAGTCTTACCCATCCCTTCCTGTGACTATAACACAAGAAAATTTGTTCAAAAATTGGCATCCTTTTTCATCACACACCAGAAATCTGTGCAGAAATTTCAATTTTTTAATTAATCGCTTGGAAAAAGAAAGAGGGGGAAATCCATATAATAACTATTACATTGATATAAATAGATAATTTCAAAATTTTCTTACACTTATTTGATACCTGACTTTCAGAGTATGCCAGTTGGCTTTTCATTCACACATGAACACATATTCATGCACACATGTGCACCACACATACACAAACATAAAACCCTCAGATTCATTTAATGTGATTTATAAATACTTCACTGTAATTACTTTAGCTAAATCAAAATCAAAAAAGGAAATGTCTGCTATGCAAGAACTAAAAAAACACTGAACTGTAGGTAAGAAGTAAAAGCTCTTACATCTTATGAGAATATGTAAGTCAAACAGTAAATTTAGTTTGGTATGTCTCTGCTTGAGGGAAACATGACTAGAGAAAGCAAGATTTTTGGGGCACTATGGAAATGAAATCACATTTTTAGTAAAAGGAGATTATTTCATTTAAAGGCGCTCTTCAATACTTTTTTTCTATGGAATAATATAGTGAAAAATAATGTATTAAAAAACTTGCTTTGCCTAATATTACATAATATTATAAATTAATGTAATATATAGCATATTGATACACAATTTTATAATTAAGTGTTCTTAATATAAAATAGCTTCTCTTATTGGAGATTAAAAGCATCAGTTTAAGTATTAAATTTCAGACAAAAACAGTGTATTTTTGAGTTATAGCAGTTTTACAAGCAAAAGGTTGTTTCTGATGTTTCAATAAGAAAGATCTTCCTTTTCTGCTGACAAATAGTCCCTGTTTTCAGCACAGTTTTCCATGGAGAAAGTCAGATACAGGAAAAAATATATCTGAGACTGGCATTTCATGTCCTAGTTCACCACAGGTAATGATGAGTATTCGTTGCAATCAGAGATTTCACCATCATGACATGACACATCATGACCCACAATGTAATACCTTACAACAGGATGTAGAGGAAGCTTGATTTGACAGACATTTTTCATCTGCTAATGACAAACTAGGGGCACTTTGAATTATTCATCTACAATCCCCGCATATGCTTAACTCAAATCGACTTTGATGCCATGCAAGTTTCAAACTCACTACAAGTGAGCTTTTTGCTTTTATATGTAACTAACATCAGATAAATGAAGTAATAAAAATCTACTGAAATCAAGAAAAGTTTGAATTTCATGACTGTTTGCAATGCTTGCTAAGCAGACCAGCAGACAATGACTTACCAGATTTCCTTAACGAAAGTTTAAAACAGTGAAAAAACAGAGCAGCATTTCACAGTTGTTTGTTTACTCTAACTTGCATGTAATTAAATTATATATAGATGATCCAATGAAAATATATGACTTCCAATGAAGTTGTACAGGTTGTTATTTACTGTATTCATTCATGCTGATAGATGCAGAAAATATAATGGATTTAAGGGAAGACAAATGCCTGTTTAATAAAACCAACTGATTACTACAGGAGTCAATATATTTTTATATTGATGAGTTCATTAGCACTGGAACATTCTATTCAAAAACCAATCAACGTACCTTCATAGCAGGATTAAAAATCAGCTTTGTTAGAACAGCTCAGTGATAGGAATCAATACAGGCTCCAGTTCTGTAAATCTTGCACAACAGACAGACCTTTCCTCCTCTCAAGATTGCCTGAATGGTGCAGTCATCTGCACCAGTTCAGCTAAAAGGGTTTCTGAGTGCTCTGAGACATTACCCTCTGTAAGGCTGGGATTCATCACCACCTACCCAAAAATAATTATCTGACAAAAATGTATATCCAGGCTAATGAAATCTAGGCTCTGTTAACAATGGAGAAGGATAGAATTCTCCAGAGAGTGCCTCCTACAGTTGACACAGCTTAGAAGATTCTAAGTTGACATCATAGAGCTTCCACCTTTCTCCAATGTTATGGACCTGTCCTAAACATCCAGTGTGGACTTTTTGGGGGGCTCTGGACAGTCTTTCCTCTTTGATGTCTGCTTACAGTACTGTGAAGATGACTTCTGGGAACATAAATTGAAAAGAATTCAGAAGGAAGAACTTTTTGCTTATTATGAGTGTAGTGAGAAAATGGAAGAGGTTGCCAAGGGATGTTATGTAGTCTGCGACCCTAGGTGTTTCCAAGGCTTAACTCTATAATCCCCAAAGTCAACTAACTTGACCTAATAGCTGACTTTGCTGTGGCAGGCAGTTGATCTAGAGACTTCCTGGAATCATCCCTTGGTTCCATGGCATTTATCCATTATTATCTTGGTACGGATGTTGGGGGACTGACATCATCCTAACATCCAACTTTGGGGAGTTCAGAGTGAACATGAAATTCAATCAACTCACTTGGAGTTTTGCCTTTAATTGCACTTCAGAAGTCTCAAAAAATCCATTCCAGTGCCTGCGGAGCACCTGCTGAAGTGGGTGTGGTGAACTTGTGGGGACTTCAAGCTTACTAACAAAGCAGAGATGAACCACAGCTATTTGATTTAACTCAACTTTCTTGCTCAGTCCATCTTTAAGAAGCATCCTCAACTTCAGAAGCCCACAGATATTCTGTGATGAGCCCCATGCATGAAAATACAGAACTTTGAAATCAAATTACAATTTCTACAAATGACTGCCAGTTTTTTTGAGAATTCTTTACTTTGGTTATTTTATCCTAAATTCTAGGTTCTGCTTGACTGCCAGCAGGCAGGAGAGTGGAGAAAAAACATTAATTACCTCTTCCCTTTCACTCCAGTGGTCAGAAGCAACAGCAGCCTCTACGTTGCCTTAATGCATGTTAGGTCTTGGACACCTGGCAGAGAGAGAGCAGAATGTGGGACAAGGATGCACTGAAAAGATAAAGCAGCAGATGAAGTCCAGGTATGTGATAGTGCTGTTCCCTCTCTAGGAGTTTCAGGGTCAGCACCACTAGCAGCAATGCCTCTGGGGAGGGTGGCAGCCCATGACGTGGCACAGCAGTCCTCTGGGAAATGGGCTGTCCAAGCCTGTGGCTGCTGCAGGCCCTGGGAACACACCAGCAAATCTGCATGCTAAAAAAGGCAGAACAACTAGAAAGATGACATAAGGATCTAAGAGGTAAAATCAGTTTAGCAAGATTAAAAAATGATAAGGCATTTATACGAATAAGAGCACACCTTATAATGATGTTAACTAGGCTGAAAATTATAGGGGTAACAGTCTTTATTTCAGACATAAGATGATCACCAGCTGGGGACAGACAGAAATTGCATCTCATGGTAAAATATTGCACGATCAGGTGGATTGTGGGGGTATTTTACCTTCCTGTCAAACATCTGGTGTGAGCCACTGTCAGAGACAGGATGTCAGACTAGCTGGACCATTTATCTGTTCTGGTGCATAATTCTTATGCTTATTTAGCTTACAGGCTTTTCTGACTGCTTGAGAACATTTATGAAATTGTAGGGCAGAGAAGAGAGATGTTATTTCTAATTGAAGAACTTGCTATGTCTCACCACCTGTTGTTTGTACATAAGATGATAGGGTTCCAATCACAAGATTAATGCACAATTTAGACTGGAAAAATAACAGCAAATCTGTCTGATTCTCCTATTTTAAACCCTTTCATGATCTTCAGAAATATTTCACAGTGCCAAGAACAATTTCAAATATAAACCGTTGGATTTTATAAAAAGCCTTCAAAAAGCTGCATCTGTCATTTGCATATGCAAAACTTTCACTACAGATTCATGAATAAGATTGGTTATGCAATTTCTGTAAAATTTATGTGGGTTATGATTAAATTGATTTTTATTTTTACTTTATATGACAGAAACATTCAACATTGATGTACTGAACAAAAGTGTAGAGGTTAAAGTCTGATTCTCACAAAAACTTTCTCCAAGGTAATACTTTACTCCATGTTAATTGCTTCAAACCATTTTTTTCTTTAATGGTTACCACTCAGAAAATGCTTGCTTTCTTTTAGAAAACAACAACCTAAACAAAAGTTGAAGAAATTCCATAGCTATTACCTTAATATTAAAACTTCATTAGCTGCCTGGGATTTTTGCAGTAGTAATGGCCGATTATTCCTGCTAGGATATCCATTTGTGTGCCTGAACCTTCCTTCCCAAAACTTTGCAACAATGCCAGAAGATGAAGATGTGGGTTTTTCCCTCTCTCTCTTTTGTAAAAGCAATACTTAATTTTTAAGTTATTTTAATATTTTTGTTGACATGTAACAGTATCTTGAATACTCAATGGCTGTCACATTGTAAGAAAATGACAGCAGAATATTTTATTTTACTTCATCTATTGTGTAAATTTTGACAAGGTACCAATTTTCCAGGTATAAAATGATTGCATTTTTACTAAGATTTTATATAATTGATTAAAAATTATGTCTTACTACTTCATTTTCTACCTTAAGGATAGTTTCAGCCTTAGGACAGCATTTCTTGTTCTCCAAATCAAGTAAATAAAATGGAGAGAAGTTCATCTTCAGCTTATTATTTTCACTATAACCATCACATAACCAAAATATAAGAATTTTGATCTTTGACTATAAAGAAAAATAAAGACTGATCTTCACAAATATTTACTAGTTTAACAGACAGTTTTTGAGGGATAGTTAAAAAGCTGAAGACAGTTTTGAAGACTGAACCATGAAAATGATGAGGCACAGGTAGGTTTCTAAGTTTCTTTCAAAAATAATCCATACAATACAGTTTAAATAAATAAATATCTGTGTAATGTTCTGTGCTTAGGGCATGAATTCTTTCATTAATATTTTTTTTTCAGTCAGTTTTCTGAGGAGATCAAAATCTCTAGAATTGAATTCTTCAAAAAGAGGTCTCTAAATCAACCTTTTGGGGCAAATGAATAAAACACTGAGTAAAAGATCTACCGTTTTGGAGAGGGATAAGAAATACTTCATACCTCATGGCTTAAAAGTAATTTCTGGTTGTGCTTGATAAAGAATTCAACGACACCATTTTTTTCATTAAAATAATCTTCTTTCATCTGCTTTTTCGGCTAGTCAAAGAAAGGTTCCTGGGTTTTGGCTAGTGTAGGAAGAATGCATAGCATAATGGTAAAAGTCTCATGTTTAACATTCAGAAGAAGAAAAAAAAATCTATTATTTACAAACAAAAAAGTTTGTTAAAATGCTTAAAGAATCATGCCCTGAAGTGGCAAAAAATTTTGAAGGCAGCAGGATGGCTGATTTCACGTAACTCATCATAGAAACGAAGAAAATAGTGTTACTCAAAAGCCAGCAAAATCCTGCTAAATAGCTCTTGTTTGGAGTCTTAACAATCCAAAAGCCTGTGTGAACTCCCTGTATACTTTCCTTTAACAGACCTATGAAAATACACAAATTCAGATATATTCAAAATCTTACCTTTATTCACACCCATTCATGCATAAATACATATATGCTAGCATTCAAAAATAAAAAATAAGAATTTTTCATACATCCCTGCATTATTTATATGTTGGAAACATTTTTCCTAGCATTTGTTTCCTGACTTTTATTTATGATGTTTGGAGAGATTACTCTCCACCACAAGATCATAATACTGTTGAAGGCTGTTGATAATGCAAAAAACCAATACAATGTTCTTTAAAAACATATGTATTAAAATTCCTGTTTGTTTACCATTTAGCCAGAGAGTCCATCAAAAAAGAATATTTATTACCCTTGCTATTCTTGAGAAAGATTAATATCTTCTGATTTCTGTAAGTGCATTATACATTAGAGAGTTGAAAGCTCTGTATGTCAGCATCAGCACATTTATCCAAGTACTTAAGCGAGGATTTCAGATTTTGCCTGTTGCATAATGATTAGAAGGTGCCCGGCATTCTGCTGGGATCCTGGAACTACAGCCTGTGCAAATGAGGCAGCCCTAAAGGCAGTGATTGTTGTTGCATTTGGGATATTGGAGTATAGCCCAGACATTTTCTTCATTATCCTTTTCATTCACAGAATGGTTTAGGCTGGATGAGACCTCTGGAAGTTGTCTGGTCCATGACACTTCCCTGTCCTGCTGGCTGCCTACACAAAAGTCCAGCTACTCACAAGTTGGACTAAAAGCTCATGAGTCAAAAGTCACAGTCAAATTACCATACCATCCCCACAGACTGCTGGATGGCCTAGGGTTGTTTTCTGTCTGATGGCATGCCAGGCTGGGAGAGTTAGCACCCAGGGAGTCCCACACATGATGCTGCAGGACTAATTAGGTCAAGTTTACCTCAGTATTGCTCCGAAAACTTTGCTGCCTTCACAACACACCATCATTCCCCAAGGAGGCTCTTCTCTTCAGCCCAAATAGGGCTGAAAACAGCTGAAACTATCGCCTCATTTAAATGCAATTTAACAAGATCCATCAAAGAGCAGTGACTTTCTGCCATTACCAACTTTGATTTGAGCAAAGGAACTAATGTTGAGAGGGTCTAGTTCTCATTGCCTGACATTTAGGCTTAAGCAACCACTCTTTTAAGGTTCTTTGGAATAACTGGGATCTCCAGCAAGTGCGCATGAGCAGGAGCTCTGCTGAGGGCTCCAGACATTCTGGTGCAGAACCAGGGTGGGAATGAGACCAAGCTGGCACACACTGTCACCATTTGCCAGCCTGAGCAGCGAACAACTGGACAATACGTGGACAACTGGGAGCTTGTAGAGCTTTTATTCTCCTCATGAGTTAACCTGCAGTTAAACAACCCTTGCAATGCTGTGTGCCTTCAGAGACAGCTGATGTTCCAGGAGATTTCATGTCAGCTCCAGCAACACCACACCCACGGCATAATCAGAGGGGCAAAAGAGCTCACTGCCAGGGGTAGCTGCTCAAATTCATGCGCTCTCTGCTGTGTTTGACTTACAGGAATATTGACTGAAAAATATGCTTCATTTTATTCCCTGGAAAGTCAAAGATTAGATGCAGCATAGGTGAGTGTTACCTGTATTAAAAAAAAGCTTCCTAATACTTCAGTCTTCTGAAGAAGCAATCTGATGGTTTCATTGCTTTTCCCATCAGGGACTGCTGATAGCAAACACTGTGCTCTCTTTTGCAACACAACAATGTGGAACCTGCTACACAGTTTAAATGGTACTGAAAAAACTCTAAGTGGAAAAAAAATTTAGGTGTTTCTGCCTCAAAAAGCAGGCAGGCAAATATGGCAATTTCTTACTGAACAATTCTACTTACTGAGTATAGTTGACATGATCTGCTTATTACAGTAAGTAAAAATTTTTATTGCTTTTTCTTCCTGTTATCCTGCTGCTCCAATGCAGTTAAGAGAGACGACTCAGAATCCTGCTCCATTTTGTGCAACATAAACAGAATTTATGCTGCAATTATGAAGTCAGATTCTGCCTCCTGTTATTCCCTTTAACTCCCGTGAAGAAAGAGAGTACAGCTGAACCAAGAGTGTGGCCTCTGGAATCTTTACTGACAACAACAAAACAAGACCCAAGGAGAATCCAGATTGACTTCTGGGCACAAGCTTGAGTTTATCTTGGTAGCACTGCTAGAACCTAGTGCTGAATGATTTATTAAAGAGCAAGGGCACTAGTATCAGTGGAGATGGCACTGCAGACAGCTTTGTAGGGTAGGAACTTACTGCAGCAGAGAAGGATTCAAACTCTCCAAAGAGAGTTTTCCAAGAAGCGTATTTATATTTTCACACTGATATTAGTGACCCTAAAGAGGTTATTTGTTCTCTGACCACCTCTGGATCAAGACACAGTTTCTTTTTCTCTCCAGCAAGTCACTTTCAAAATGTTTGGAACAGTCCTAAAGGAGAGGACCTATTATTATATGTCCTTATATCAGGTATGTAAGAATTAGTAATGGTTGGCCTCTTGGACACTTATAATATGAAGAGAGAGAAGGCATAAACTGAATAAAAACTCTCTCTGGAGATTACTATTTTTCTATTATCTGTAGAGAGCACTTCTAGCTTAAGTGCTTCAGTAAGACTTCTAGCTTAAGTGCTTCAGTAAGACCTAAAGTTAGACATGATGAAAATGGACTATAGCATTCCTGTGAGCAGCTGCCCTGGAAGGGTTTGTACCATTGCACGTGGCATCCCTCAGAGAAAAAACCATTGTCCACAGGTGTGGGTCAGACCTGTCCATACCTTCATGCTACTCGATGGACACACCATGCTCCCTCTTATGCCTGAAATTCAATATTGGAGACCATGAGACTTTGCAACTGATGGCTCAGGAGCTGATAATTTGTGTGAAGTGAGGAAAAAAAAATAAAAAAAATAAAGAAAAAGAACCCCACCACCTAATTTTATTTTGGGTCAGATGCCTATACAGAGTAACCCTGTCGAATCAGATCTGGGACTGGCACCAAAAAGTAGGTAGGGAGGATCACACTGTCATATGTGGAAGGCAAGGCTATCTTTCTGGGTGCCAGCCAGACTTGGATCTGCTTAAGGCAATAGTGAAACTGTATTCAGAAGCTCTGGAAGAAAACAGAAAAGCTGGCCAATAAACCCAGCTTTTGAGAACAGTCAATGTGTAATTTTAAATTCTTCCTAGCTTCTTCTTTGCATATAAAGCCTTTCACTCCAATAAGGTTTTCCTTTCTTCTGATGAAAAAAAAGCTGTGGAACAAGGCATTATGAAGAGGGGAGGACAAGAATTTTAAAAGCCTGGGGTGACTCCTACCCAGCAAACTCTAGCCTGGTGGACCATCCAAGGAGTAAAAAATAACAGATGAAAGAAGTTCAAAAATATAAGAATTCATGACCAAAGTGGTTTGTACCTCCAGTACCTGTGGGTTTTTTACTGCCTTGGCTCCAGCACACAGCTGCAGGGGTGTACAACCCACACTGCTACATCCTCCCCATTGTGCTAACACCACATTGCAGGGATTCTGTGTATCAGAAAGTGACTCAATGAAAAAGGGCTAACAGCCTGAGCTTTCTCACCAGTCTACAGCTCCAAAAGAGCCACCATGTCCAACAATGTGGTGTTTGGGCAGTCATGTGTATGTGCAAATCACTGCGGAAGACAGAAGAGGAATGGGATCAAAATTCCTGTTAATGGGGTTCATGCACATCCAACAAAATTAGCTGATTTAGGAGCTGGCACTTCCATGAACCACAAGAATTCTGAATGAGCCATAGCCCATCCCAGTCTGCATCAGTATTCACACAAGCTGATGCTGAGAAAGTCAGAATTCTTCCATATGGTTCCTTCAAGGACAACAGTTGGGCTGGATCCATGGGGGAGGTTTGTCCATCTTTCTGAAGCAGTCCTGGTACTTTTTAAGTCATAATGAAAAATAAATCAGTAAGTGATAATCAAATGCAAACTTGATATATTCAGTATTATTAGAGGGCTTTAAACAAATTAGGCAGAGAAAAACATGTAATGACTGACATGGTGATGACGATATGTCACAGCACAGGATGAGGGTTTGCAGAGTCTCTCCTAACTTGGAAAGTATCAGGTGTTGTTTTCAGAAACCTAGAAAACTTTCTGAAAGAGTTTTTCATAATGGATTTTTCTCTGGTATCTCCTAGAACCTAACAGTTTGGATCATTACAGCCTCTCTCCAAAGGGACTTTGGAAAAGTTCTAGATTTCAGTCTTCTGTTGCAGTCAACTTTCAAAACACTTCTAGAACTAACTTCTTCTCTTGTTCTCTTTCCTCCCATCTTTCACCTCCATCTTTAATTTTCTTTTTTTTTCCCCCTAGTCTTTTTCAGTTTTCCAGTTTCAATGACAATTTTTTCTGTTTAGACTGTTGGCGTGTTCCCATTTCCCCTTGATTCCACTTCACAAACAGGTTCTGTTCATTCATAAAGCATACAGCATAAATTGCCCCCAACACTTTCATCTCAACATTCTCCAGCCTAAACATCCTCTAGCCAAAGCATTTGGCTCATTCCCCTCTCAGTCTTCCACTTTCCCAAAGCTCCTCCAGTTCATTCCTTTCCTCTCTTTCTCACTTGTTTCTACAGCATTACAATTACAATGGAATTTGTGCTGCTGCCAAGGTCCAAAAGCAAGGAGTATGTCAAGGATGTCAGACATCCAAGAAGGTCAGACATCCACAGCTCAACATTATTCTTCATTTCCTGACTCCCTCCACAACGGCATCTGTCAGTCCTCTGTCTTTTCAATGTCCCTGTCCCATCCTCAGGATTTAACCCATGAGCTCACTGGACATGCCATGGGGTGCCACTCAGAAAAACCTACAAGCATGATGCTCGCTCTTGGGGGGCAGCTCTCTCTCAGAGTAGCAGCCCTGGCGTCCGTGCTGCAGGCCAAGCTGTGCTGACAGTTTTCTTACCTGTGAATTAACACACAGGTCTGCCATGGAAAAGCAGCCGTGTAATTGGCGAGGTCCTGCAGCTTGGCAGTTCAGCAGTGTCAAGGCACTTGGGGCACATCTTGTATTTATCACTGCTCCCTGCAGGTAGCACAGAAACATCACTTTAAATTGACAGAACACGACAGTGAGCAGAAAATCAATGCCAGATATGCCCAGACATTAGTGGACTCCTTACCCTACTTTATAAGAGTGGGGAATAAAAGATTTCTTTTTTTTCTTTTTCTTTAGTTTTGTTCTTTTAAAAAGACACATCATGATCAGTAACTGAAGGTGAAATGATTAGATTAGTTTCTGCGCATGCAAATGAGGGACACTCTAATTTTCACAGATCCCAATCTGAGATCAATTGTATGACTTTTCCACTTTTTGATTACATGTATGGACTCACTGCCATTGTATTAAAATAATTATCAGAAAACCCTGACAACACTCTTAAGGTGGCAACAAATAACTATTTTCTTCATCTAGAAACAAAACATGGAGACCCGATCCACAACAGGAAGTTATATACAATGACAAAAGAGATCCAGTAGCAAAAGCCGATTTTTAGATGCCAAACTGGATATTCTCTCAAGGGGTCTGCTCTACAGAAAGGTTCTCAGCCTTTCTATAGAAAGGCTGATTCTGTAAGGAGTCATCACCTAGCCAACAAGTGAGACAATTGAGACATCAGGGTCTAGTGAAAATCAGCATTGTGTTCCTATATCGCTCTAAATAAAAAGGAGGTGTTTTCCCAACAAATAAAATTCATATCCATTATTTTTTTCTGGACAGGAAGCAATTTGGCTTTGAATTTCTAAATATATTTTACATTGCCTTCCAAACATTTTGTATCATATTGAATGCAGGAAAGCTATTTCTGAAATAGCTTTTTGCACAGGTACTCTGATTATATTTTGCTTTCTTTGATAATTTTGTTGTTATACTATTGATTTTTTCATTAAAACAGAGACACAGTTCCCAACATACACGTTTAAAAGTACAGAAATTTTCCCCCTTTGTAATTAGTTCTACCTTTGCTGGCTCCATTTAATGAAATCTCAAGGGCAAATTGTTATACTTCATATTCAGTCAAAACTCCCATTAATCCATATATGTTACCATAACAATTTGTTATGAAAATAGCAGTGATATCACATTATAATTTTCTAACATTATTACATGAAAGAGGAAAGAGGAGATAGGTTGTACAGAAAAGAAGCTTTTATTGTAAACCAAAACCATCCATAATAATTAGTGATATCTGGGAAATGTTCATGATTACCAAAAGTAAATTGATTAATTTTAATTAATGTCTCTCTTTCACAGTGGCATTATTCAGACTGGAGAATTGATGTTTTCCCTATTGATTTTTTTCCAGGGGACTGTCTCTGTCCCATTCACTCCCATCCCCAACAATTCCAATTTTTATTTTTCAGCTTGACCAAAGCATGGCCTTCAGTGATTTCACATCCTAAGCTCATTCATCAGAGCATCTCATAAAAGTGTTGAACTCTTCCATTGATAGGCAGTGGCACAAAATGTGGTGCTGGGGAAAGATCAGCCACCTCTGACTTTCCCTCCTCAGCTGTCTTAAGAAGTAACAGAGTACGGTTACCCAGAGACAGAGGGGCCTTGGTTTGTGCCCTCAATAAAATGAATCCTGCTGGCAAATAAACCCAAAGATGGCTATTCTTCTTCTGAAAGGTATTGTCCATCACATTCTTAAAGAAATCCTCAATGGCCAGTTCAGCTTTCAGCCACGGTTTGCCGATTGCTTTATATGTCAAAATGAAAACTATCAAATACGCAATCTGTGGCATGTCACTAGCCATCACAATTTATAGCACTGCAAATACAACTCAGGCTGGCTCTACATCTTCTGCTTCAGAAAGAAGAGCTGTCTTGATTCTGGGGAAGAAAAGGCTGCTTCAGCAAATCCAGCAGCAGATATATATCTCAGTAGAGAGAGGGCCAACAAGTGCCAGGGTTAGAAGTGGCCAACAGATTCCAGATAAACTTATTATTGATTATAAAATTATGGTTTTGATTTAAAAAATTTGTTTTTTGTTGTTTTCTGTGGCACATAATATATTCATTTATTCTTTTTCTTTATAATTGCATGCATATTCTGTTACTCATATCACAGTGAACTGGAACTACTCGAATAGTGAGACTATGGTCCATCACAAAAGATGAAATCAATGACACAAATTTACCACAGACTGGGAGCACAAGGTCACAAAGGAGTATTTTATCTTAAAAACATTTTGGTATAACTGAATTTTTTTCAGTATTCAACAATTTACCAAGGAAAGTAACCTTTCCATAAGAAAAAAAAAATCCCAAAACCTCAAATTCATGTTAAATTTCAAGTGAGGTGTATTCATGACACAGACTGGATTGCTGAGCATCAGCTCTTCATGTGGGTGTCTCATATAGTACCAACACAAGTTCATAGCAATTCTTCAGCCTATTTAGTGCTGCAGCCATATTACTTAAAAATCCTTTAAAAACACCAAAGAATGCTGGACAAGCCACACGACTGGAACACAGCAATCACTGAACGACACCACTGAGGGCCGCAGAAGGGATAGGCTGGGAAGGAGGGGTGGGGTGTTGTGCTCTGTGTTAAGGAATGGAGAAAGCTCTCACCCTGTTAGGATATTTCAACCACCCAGAAATCTGTTGGGAAAGTAGCAGAGCTGGCTCTAAGGAATCCAGAAGACTCCCAAAGTGCACAGAATATTCATCCTGAACTGCATCAAAATGGGAGTGGGCAGCAGGTCAAGGGAAGTGATTCTACCCCTCTGCTGTGATTTTGTGAGACCCCAACTTTAGTGCTGCATCCAGCTCTGGGGTCCTCAGCACAGGAAAGATGTGGACTTGATGGAGTGAATCCACAGGAGGGCCACAAAGATGATCAGAAGGCTTAGAGGCTTTCTCAGACAGTCCAAGAGAAGGTGAGACTGCTCAGCTTGAAGAGGAGATAGCACCAAGGAGACCTCATTGTGGCCTTCCTTCCAGTATTTAAAGGAGACTTAGAAAAATGAGGGAGATCAATTTTTTACATGGACAGACAGTGACAGGACAAGGAGGAATGGTTTTAATCAAAAAAGGAGAGATTTAGATTAGATTTCAAAAAGAAACTCTTTATGGTGAGGATGCTGAAGCACTGGAACAAGTTGCTTAGAGAAGTTGAGTGTGCCCCATCCCTGGAAGTGCTCAAGGCTAGGCTGGACAGGAATCTGACAACCTGGTCTAGTGGAAGGTGTCCCTGCCCATGTCAGGGGTTTGGAACTGGATCATCTTTAAGGTCCCTTCCAAACCAAACTATGACTCTATGATCCATATAAAAAACAAAATTGTAGCTGAAATATTGCTTTCCAGCCAGGAAATGGTTCTAAAGCTTGGATGAGTTTTAAAGCAGAATAATTTTCATTTATCTCTGTAAGGGACAGTGAAAAGGGAGAATCATTATACTAGAGGGATGAGAGAAATACAGTAAAAAGTGTTACAGCTGCATAAGCCATATCAGGGGATTCCTAATGACTTGGAAGTCTAACACTAATCACAACACTAATAGAAACACGGACATCACAAGCAGCATTATACAACCTCTTGTCTTCAGCCTACACCAAAAAATTATTAAGCATGAGCAGACATTTAGCTAAACTGGTATAAACAAGGTGACAATAGTACAAGCCAGTGCAAGAACAGGTTAATGAACACCAAGATTAATTATGTGCATCTGAGTCATCAGGAATTTATGAAATTCACAGTAGACTGCTTAAGAATACAGCCAGGGTATTCTCTTTGCCATTAATAATTATATCTGAAAATGAATGAAAAGTGAGGGTAGTCCCAGAGGACTTTAAATTATCTATCAGTATAAACAAGAAAGGAGGGAAAAGATCTAGGGAATTTTAAACAAGTTAACCTAAAAAAGATTCTCAGAAAAATGTTGCATTAATATTATTAAGGTTAACCATCCATTTATAAACACTTAATACATATAAAGCAGATAACATGTGCTGTGAAGAAAAAATCAGGAACAACCAAATTAAGTTAATTTAGTGGCCCAGTGGAAGGTGGGGAAAGGAGCTGTGAAAAATCTGGAATTAAGTAAACTTTGAACATTGTACAATAAAATAATCTTAAGAGCAAATTAAAGAAAAAAAGCTCTGAATAAGATAGGTAAACATGTAATGGAAAAATATTCATTGAGACACTAGTTCAAAACTCAGTTGGAGAGTGAGGACTCTTGGTGAGTCCTCAGGCAAAAAGTAAATGCATTAGTACTGGTATTTTATTTTGGTATTTTCACTGGCATCCTGGATGAATGTATTTGCTGGTCCTGTAGAGCTATAGAGAACTGTGAGCTGCTGGAGACAACAGTCCTGAAAAGTATCTCATCAAATAAAAGCTGCCCATAAAACATCAAGACTGAAATACATAAACACAAATGCAAAATTATTCAAAGGGAAATATTTAACTGCAAAAATTAATAATAGAAAATATATGTCTATCCAGGAAAAACTTCAGGAAGGTATCAGCATAGTGGACTCAAATCAAATGAGACAATACAATGCTTCTAAAAAAGAGGATAAACTTCATTCACAGCTTTACTAGCAAGAATTTCCAAAATAAAAAGACAAGAGACAATTACTGGTTCTGAGTGAAGCACAAGATAAAACAGCTATATTCAGCTGGGGACTTACTCTAAAATAAATGAAAGGAAAAAATGAAAAGAATGAAAAGATATCAGCAAGAATTATGTGGGTTAAAAACCAGTATCAGTGATGAAACATTGAAGGGCCTGAGTTGCAATATGTGAATAAGAAAACTGACAGCAGCTTTCAAAGATATAAGAGCCCATTATAAGGATGATAGCAGTCAATATTTAAACCTACTGTGGGACTAGGCATAATCAGATTAGTTTCTAGGCAGAAGATTGAGGTTAGATTTGAGGAGCCAGCTAACTAGATAGGTAGGGAAATAAACAGAATTAAGACTTTGGAAAAGCTTGGAAAAACAAGGAAGATAGATCGTGTCCTGAAGAGGACATTTTTTCTGGCTCCCATTGTGAAGAGAGGAAA